CCCACCCACCCACCCACCCACCCACCCACCCACCCACCACGACTACGACTACGACTACGACGACGACGACGACGACTACTACTACTACTACGACTGCTACTACGACTACTACTACTACTACTACTACTCCTACTACTACTACTACTACTACTACTACTACTGCTACTACGACGACGACGACGACTGCTACTACGACCACTACTACTACTACTACTACTACTACGACTACGACTACGACTACGACTACGACTACGACTGCTACTGCTGCTACTGCTGCTACTACTGCTACTACTGCTACTGCGCCTCCAATTCCTACTGCGCCTACTGATTATGCTACTGCTACTGCTGCTGCCGCTGCCACTGCCACGACCACCACTACTACCACCACCAAACCACGCCAATCACTAGAAAAAACCAGTACAACAACTATGCCTTCCCCTACTACCACTAGTCAAATCGTGTGTTGCGCCCTAGGCCGTAAGGCAGCAAAGCCCAAAATTGCAGGAACCCTGCAGCCTGACGCCTCCTTTGTTTGCATTCGCCGGAATGCCGAGCGAGTGGAAAGATGTTCTTGTGCGTGCTACGTCCTAAACCGTCCGAAATCGAAGACCCAGAACCCAGAAGCCTCAGACACGAAGTCAGCAGAGCCGAATTCTGATGGAAGAGACTGCTTTCTGCTGCAGGGGGAACCCGGAAAAGAGGCAAGCATGACACACAAAATCAGGTTTGAGGCCTCGGTTTCGAGTTGAGGTCAGACCCTTAAGTGCTTGCCACTGTGAAATGTGTGCTGTGCATGCGCCTTCCTCCCAGAACCAAACTAACAGTGAGCACCAACGCAAGAACTCACCCGGGTGTAGAGTGTACACCCCAAGAAGTAGAGAGCCCGTCACACCCAGGAACCATTCCAGAAGCAGCCCCAAGGTTCAAAGATGTCCAAAATCCAAAGACTAGCCCATGAGTCCAAAATACGAGCAAAATCCGCGGTGGGAGAACGACTTCCTCGGGCCGTGGGAGATGGGCGGCAACGTGCTTCCCCAAACATGCATGGCATATCATGGCAACGCGGCGAGGGCACTTCGAATTCCCGAAGCCCCAGAAGAACGGCAAGATTTCCACCCCCGAGGAGCCTCAAAGGGAGCACTGCTAGGACTCTAACGATTTCAAAGTGCATGCAACTGCAATGCGGCGCGAGAACCATTCATCAATTTGCCAAGCGCCGAAGTGTTGGCAGCAATGACGCCGTAAGGCAGAGCCAGCCCTGCGCTGTCTGGCGCTGTGCAGCAGCAGGCAGCGCTTTCATTACCGTGCAGGCGCGCTTCTGTACAAGCTCTTTGTTCAGTCGTGCTCACATGGCACGGTATGGGCTGGATCCCCGCTGAGGTGTTCGCACAAACTTGTTGCAGTTGTCTCGGCTTGCTTGTTTTCGTGCATTCGGAGCGGGCACCTGTCGAACGTCCGCAGGTACGGGCTGGCAGCAGCTGGACAGCAAGTTGGAGCATGTTGTGGGTTTCACTTGTAGATAGAGCAGGATGCCCTTTTTCTGCACTTGTTGTTTGACGCTTGTCACTTGTCTTTTGTTATATATATATATGCACACATGTGCATGTGCACACATATAAAAAATACATACATATATATCTGCTGCTGTTCTGCTGTTCTCGGCGATGAGTTCTTGTTGAACGCAGCCGTGTTGGCTTGCAGTTAATTACAAAGTGAAACAGAAAGAGAAAAGCTCGGGGCTAAAGTTTGCACACCATGTCCCATACTGCATGTTCCTCGTGAAGACGGCAAGTTTACGGAGGACAGCAACTGCTGGGCGGTCAACAGCAGGCAGCAATATGCAGGCGGGCATGCCCCGAGTCCAGAGGTGCAAAATGCCCCTCACAAGATCAGAGAAAAGTCGCAGGGAATGCAGAGGACCCTCAATCTGCTTGTAGGCTTTAACGGGCCGAGGCAAAGCAAGGCTCGTAAGAAGTCCAAGGAAAGGAAAGGAGGAAGATCTGTCTCTGATCGATATCGTCGATCCAACGCGCAAAGTCAAGCCGGTTGGGTTCGTGCTTGCATTCCGTATGTGTGAGCTGGTGAAGGAAGTCAGAAGGAGAAAAATGCGCAGCTCACATATCTCCACTTACGCACACAAAAGGATGCCCCGTCCCCTCATGTTCTGCAATAGTGACCCCTGCTAACTCGAGCCATGGGAGGAACTTATCAGCATCACGAAATGTGGCAGTGTTCTTAGGACTATGACCCCTATCGTCCTCAAGCCACTCAACAAAGTCAACCTCAACCAGGAGCTCTGCTGTGCGCTTGTGCCAAGAAATCCACAGGAAGGGGAAATCCTCCTCAGAGAGCAGGGCCTCCTCAAGTGTTGTCTTCCAGCAGCTTGCGGTGGCACGCAGCCGCGTAAGCTGCAGGCAATGATTGCTGAAAAACCCCTTGACAGCCTGTAGGAGAGCCTGATAGGAACCATACTCCCCAGCATCGTTGCAGAAACAAGCCTCTAGAGAACAGAGGATTCTTTCTTCTGGCTGTTCCCATTCATCAAGAAAATCCCCGTGGTTCCAGACAGCTTTAGGGCCCTGCGCTGGGTATGCCGGCAAAAGGGCATGTTTGCCGTCATCAAACTTGCGACTACCTATGCCGGGTTCTGGAACATATTCCACATTGGCGTTGACAAGAGCAGCTCTACATCGGCGGGAATAGGAAATATGTGCACAGAGGGCCCTGTGTGTAAGGCAGACTGAGCATTGTGTGCCCGTTGCGAGTCTTCTGGCAGGGTTGACCCTCCCATGCCGTTTGAAGGCATGCCTGGACCATGCTCTGAGGTCAGGAAAAGCCTGTCGGCACTTCGCACAGATTTCGCGGCAATCGGCAGGCTCAATCAACTCGGGCGGTAAACACGCCCCATTGGCAACACAAGCCCGAAAGAAGAGACCCCTGTACTGCTTTGTCTCGGCACTCCACAGTTCGGAAAGTTGTGCCACTGCCTTGGCCTTTCGCACAGCCCGCTTCCATCCCTGGGGTTGATCCCTGATGTAGCTCACAGCCTGTGCCCAGGTCCCCCAGGACTGACAGGTACTGCCAGCCAGGCTATGCTGGTCCTTCATCCACTCGAGTGAAGTGTCAACTAAACTCAGCCAAGTGAGCTGTGGTTTTTATTCGTGTTTGTGAAAATGGAAATAACGAAATCCTTCCGCAAGACCCTTCCGCATGCTTCAGCGCGCGAGGGTTTCGCTTCCGCGCGCCTCAGCTTTCATGTCGCTTCCGCGGATCCCTTCCGCAACGGTTTCGCAGAGTTTGCATGGCTTGCTTCCGCAAGTGCGGGCTGGAGTCTTGAGGAGGCTGTTTGTTTAGGCAGACCTATCGTGTAGCTTCAACTTTGCTTCAGCCACCAACAAAGGATGCAGGCTTACATGAAGCACGCGAAGACAGAAGCAAATCTGAAGAGGCTGAAAGGTTCCTTTCGGCTTCTTCGGCTCTTAAACTCTTGTGGGGTAGGTGGGTGACTCTAAATCTTGCTGGCATCTCTCAGAATATAAGGCAATATCTTCGCCCAGTATGCATCGAAGGGCACAGATACAGCCATTAAGATGCAGGTGTATGGTCATACACAAGTTCTTGCTGGCGATGTGGGGACTTCGACTTCGGGGCTTGTGGATCTAGGCTTTTGAGATGACTTTGGGTTTAGGGTTTGCAGTTTGTTGAGTTATATAATTATGTACATTCAAGGCCAAACGTATGATATCTGCGGCATGACATATCTTAAGACGGAGCTTCTGCGGGACCTTCCGCGGAGCGATTGCTTCCGCAAAGCTTCCGCGTGCTTCCGCGCACACAGTCCCGTGCAATTTTTTTCGGCGACAACGATTGATATTTCCGCGTTTACTTATAATCAAGGAAGCGTACAACAAAAACCGCGGCTCAAGTACGCTCGTAGTGGAGGATGGCCCAGAGCTCTGGAGTCGCCCTAATGATGGTAGACTTGAAATGGCGAAGGCGCTCCACATGTACTGACACCCTGACGCTAGCGATCCTCGCAGATGCAAGGGTGTACCTGTTACTTTGGTGGCACGCATCCTCATAGCTAAACCTGGGGCGTAGCATCAGCTTGGCCATGCCTACAGCAGCTTGCTGCAATTTTTCCTCTTGGTCCTTCGTTAGGCTGGAGCATGTCCCGGCCCCGTAGTATGACGTGGACTCGATGAGGCTCGAGAAGAGCAAAGCTTTGTCCCTGGCTGAGACTATGGGAGAACCCAGGACACGTTTGCGGTGCTTGGTGAAAGCCTGCCACGCTGCACCTACACGAGCTTTTATCTCCTGTTTTAGGGAGCCGTCCTTCTGCACCAGCCCTCCTAAATGTTTATACGAGGCAACCAGGCGAAGGCGTGCCCCTGGCCACAAATCCGAATCAAGCTCCATGGTCGGCTCGGAGCCGTGGAAGAGCTCCTTCGCAACAAATGTGGCCCCTTTGCCGAAAAGGCTAACTATCGCTTCCGTCTTTTTTGCTCGCAAATTCGGCAAGAGCACAGCTTGGAGGCATTGGTCCAAAATGCAGGTGGCAGCCTGTCGCAGATCAGAGACCAGGTGATGGGGCGTTGGAGATTTGAGAAGGACGGCCAGGTCGTCCATCCAGGTAATATCAACTGGCTGACATGTTGCATCCGGCAACATGTCATCATCTCTCCTGCAACACAACCAAGCCTGTGACCACGGCAAGACAGTCCCAATACCTGCCTGCTTGAAGCACTGACCGACACGGTCTAGAATTTCCGCAAAGAGAAAAGAAAAGACCATGTCAGCAAGCGTATCCCCTGGCCTGGTGCCACCCCGGACCGTCGCCATCTGTGCAGACTGTCCGTATGTGAACCAAGCATCGCTGTTAAACTTCTGCATCATTCTGGCAGTCCAAGGGGTAGCACCTGCGGCTTCAATCAGAGAGCCAGTCTTTACATACGTATACAGGCGGTGCACGGAGTCTGCCGGCAGACTCAGCTCTTTGACTATGCCGGCAAGGTGGTGGTCCTGCAAGTCTCCCCCGTGAATCAGAGGTCGGACTATTCGGTGAAAGGTTTCTCTAAGATCTACAAACAGTTCTGCACAGCATTGCCGACTCTGACATACGTACATATATATATATACATATGTATATATATATATATATATCTCTCTCTCTCTCTCTCCCACTCTCTCTCTGTCTCTCTCACTCTCTCTTACATTTTCTGTCTGCCTCTATACTAAAGGCTGACGGAACGACGCTCCGTACCACATGCTGCTAGAAATGTAATGCTCTTTGCTTCTCGGAGCCGCGGGGCGGCATGGCCGTGGCGAAGAATAGAAGCAGAGAGTGATCCGAATGGGCTTATCGAAAGAAATCGAAAGCTGCCATGAGCGAGGTGACTTGGCAAGTATCCTGTGTGTGGAGGAGGAAAGAGGTGTCAGGTCAGCTTGCGCAGAGCTCCCCTGCGGGGGCTTTGACCGGAGCGCCTGATGGATCCCAATTGCCGCCAAAAAACTCCGCATGAAAGAGAGAGCAGCATGGGCCGGAACCCTCGACAGCTCCTAGCACTCAGGCTGGCGCTTGTGCCGTCCAGAGCTTTGAGGGTTGGATGTTTTTTGGTGTCAGGTCGGCTGGTTGCCCGGCCGGCAGGCGAAGCAGATCGAGATCGGCGTGAGGCAAAGACATGGTCAATTATGCAAACGGAGCACATGCGATGCGCAGCCCAGATCCCGTTGCCCGTCCCTGAAGGCTGAGCTCTCTGCCCGAGAGAGGCGTGAACGCAGGGGGCGGAGGGGAGAAGATGTTGCTAGCCTGAAGTGGACGGAAAGAGGCAGACGAGTTGCTGGAAAAGCATGAGCCCAAAATGTGCATACAGTGGCTTTCTTCGACAGCGTTGGCGATGATGACACACACACACACCCCGCAACTCGTCCTAGTCACTGTCTCTCACACTCTGTAAGAAGGCAAGCCAATGCACCTAAGGTCATCATTGCGGCACGCGAGCGTGGCTTGCGGGCCGTCGAGGCGGGATCACCGAATCGCCGAGGATGTCAAATTGCAACAGTTGCATCCCATAACATTTCGCTCTTTGCTTATCAGGTCCCATCTGAGCAGTCTCTGAGGAGGGTCCTAGGTCCTAAGTCCTGCGTGGTCCAGTGGCTCCTGGCTGTCCAGTTGCTCTTCGGATTGGCTGCGGGGCCTCTGGCGGCAGTATGCTACCCCTGGCTAAGGGAGCCCCTTGGCAGAAGGTTACAGATAGACTTGAAGCATCTTCGGAGTGTGTTCAGTGCCTGAATCGCAACCCTTCACTCACTCCACTAGTTTCCGCACGCGACATCTAGAAGCTTGAATTGCAGCCTGATTGAGGACTGCCGCAGAGCTCATCACCGGTGAGCAGAAACTCGGCAACCATACTGTAGAAACCGGTGCTACGAATTCATAAAGTTTGCCTTGTGAAGTCGACACCGCTTCTACTTTCCTGACTGAGAGGAAGCTGTGCTTCGCCTACATGGGCCTGTGCGGTTCTGTGCCGGAGGCAATGCAGGTCTTCTTCAGGCCGGCAATTCCGGCACCCAGGTTGTCTCGTGGCTGCGTACAGGCACATGGATCGTCCTAACTCGGTAGAGTTTGTCTCACGGGTGTTTTGCATTTGTGTGGCAGCGAACGCCATAGCCGTCTTTAGGCCCTGGTGATCAAAACATTCCGGATCGCGCATTGTGGCCTTGACAGGAACACCGTTGGCCTCCTGTTTAGTTTTTTGCTGGGCTACACCTCGTCATTTCTGCTGGTGCGGCAGGCGCGACAAGGGGACGCGTCCCATCAATCTAGGTTCGAAGAAGCCAAGCCAAAGCCAGCAGCGCATGTTTGGCGTATCACGCAACAAGCTCTGTGGCCTTCTAGCATGCAAAGGCTTTGTTTCAGAGGCCTCCGACAAAGTCCTGCAAACAGATACTTGTCAGTCCTTCCTCGAAGACCTTGAAGCCCCGCAAGATGTCAACTCTGGGCACTGGAGGGTTCTGTGACATGCGTGACGATGTCAAAAGTTCAGAATTCCCCGTCACATCACTGGCAAATGCCGAAGTTAAAGCCCGAAGCAAGCAGCTGTCCGCTTCTGAAAGGAGAAGTTCTATGAAGCAATGTACGAAGAGTCTTCGGTGCTAACTCAGCTTCTCGAGGAGGCGATGCGAGCAGACTCCGTGAGATTGGGGCATTGAAAAAGGTGCTGTTCAGCTCGATGGGCCTTCCGTACCGTCTCCTGCTGTCTCAGGCACCGTTGCTTTTGAATCCTCCAGAGCTGCAGAGTTTCGTGCGACTTGACTGCACAGCCAGCCGTCTTCTCAAAGAAGCGGCGTTATGCAGCCAACCATGGCTGCTTATGCCACAGAAACCACAGCGATTGGCGATTCAACCTTGACGGGAGCAGCGGCAAATTCTTCTGGCCAGTGCGGCAGCGAACGAGCACTAGCAACCGCATTCACCACAAATCACCGCAAGCAACGAGGAAGGTAGCTGCAGAACCCGGGGCTCTTCACAGCGTACATGACAATGGGTACAAAGGGCTTCCTAGGACTGAATTCAACCGATGCTGGGCAGCACGTGCTGCCGAACCGCAGCTCAGGAGGCTAATGAAGCTGTACCTGGCTTCGAGCACTTGGCGGAATGCGACCCTCTGCAAAGATCAAGTCTGAGCAGGGTTGTCCTTGCAAATTGCAGTCGAAGCGCTGCGAGCTGTGAAGCTTCAAGGAGCTTCATCCCCTCAGAGCTTGTGGCACGGGCTCTTCGCTCCGACAAGGATCTTCCACCAGGGCCGAGGCCAAGGAGTGTGCTTCGTTTGGTCTTTTGTGCCAGGATCCTGTGGAGGAGATGACCAGACTCCTTCTGACCATACCCGGTGCAGGCGAGTCAGGCGAGTGCGTGGGCCCTGCACAGCGGTTTCTATTTCTGCCGAGCCAAGGTGCGCAGCGCCTGCTTTCCTTCATGACTAGCCTGCGATCTGCCAGATCTCGGTTCCTCGGCAGCCTGCACTTGCAAGTTATCTGACCATCCACAGCACAACGGGCGGTGCTGTGGTGGCAAGCGTCAGGAAGTATTCTTCCATGCAGCGCATCATCCCCACGACTCAATTCGGTGTGCTCGTCCTGTTGGCCTTGCTTCAAAGCTGCAGCTCATGCACTCATGCCGTGGGGAATCTGCTCTTGGGCGCTCGCTTTACTCGTTCCGAAGTTGGGGCCTCGAAGTCTCAGCGTAAACGAAAGCCTGCGTGGGCGGTGATGCCTCACCCAATCTGTCAGCACTCTGTGCTTGCCCAGGTTGATCACGCTTTCGCCTTTCCTAGACGGCAAGAGTGACAGCTCCGTGCTTGTGTCCGGGCGAAGATGGAGATTTTTCGCTGCTCTGCATCGCTTTGATTCAGTTCCTGCTAGGTTCGTGCTTGCCTGTGGTGCGCTGAGGCTCAATGTCTCTATGGAGCGTTGGTCGAGGTTCTCATATTCGTCATCGTCTACGTCGGCGGCGGGCCAGGCTCCGACGACCCCATGCTTCGGCCAACATCAGCCAACGTTCATGCGAAACCGACTTCCTCTAACCACGCTGGGAAGATCTGCACACTCCTGTGAGCTCATGTTAGATGTTGAACGCCTCTGTCGAATGCTGCAGCACGACTAGGCCTTGGCATCTACACCACCGACAAGGCTGCGGGTGCTGAGAGGTACCTCTTCCCGACTCTGCTCCCAGCCAGGAGCGCGCGACAATCCTCGACGCCCTCATGGAGCTGATTGACAAAATCGACGCCAGCGCGCGAGAAAGCACCGAAGCAGGCCCTCCATACTTCATCTTGGGACTGGACTCATTATTGTTGCATTGGCAGAAGCACGAAGGAAGCTCCTCCTACATATGGCATGAGATTGTACTTGCGGCTAGCACCAGACTGCGTCTGGCCCCCACCTAACTTGCTGTTTCATATCCAGTGCCTCAAGTAATGCACCCTGGTCTGCCAGATGAGTTGGACATGGTCGAGAAGAGGCAGAAATCGGTTGTGGGCACAAAGTGACAAGGCGGCAAAGCAGAGTCTCAGGTACGCACGATACCATGCGATACCTCTGCATGACCGCCAAGCTCAAGCGTGGTTCGCTTCACTGGAGGTGACAGTGGCAATCAGCATCTGGAACGCACAGTGTGAGGCCGCGAGGCTGGCCCTAATTCAACGTCAAACAGAAGGGAATTTGCCTTTGTTATGACTTTTGCAGTACAGGAAAAGGAACAATTTTCCGCTTAAGGCTGGCCAAAGGAGCAGCCTGGAGCTGGGAGGCCCAACAGTAGGAACTCTCAAAATTGAACCCGACTATTCTTTCGACTTGAAGCTAATTACCAGTCTGCTGGGCCCTCTGCATGCGTCAGATGCTTTCGCGCCGTCATCTTCCCACGCCGACCCCCTCAGAGTTTTAACACTGGCGTCCGAACTTGTAACGGGCCTTGTGGGTCATGGAGAATCATGGACATGACGTTGCCTAGGCGGCCGTCGTGGTTCTGCCGGTCCTCCGGCTTTGGAGGAGGGAAGCCGCTGCCTCGAAGGAAGCGCAAAGAAGCGTAGGGTCCGCTGCTGTGGTCCACAGGGAGACTGCCGGGGGAGACACCTTTGGTTACCTTTGGGCCCGAGACGTCAGACGTCGAATCGAGATTGCTGCAGATTATCCTCTTCGCCATGGCCCCACCTGTCCTGACACATGAGCTAGCACTGGAAATCCAGGACCGCGGCTGATCGGGTTTATCGGTTGGCTGGGAGTTGGGAGCTGGGACGAGCTGGCGAGGCGGACGCAGCCGTCCCGTCGCAAGGAGAAGTTGATCGGAGAGTTCATGCAGCCAGCCTTCCGCTACAAACTGCGTGATGCCTTGGATGGCTCCGAAGGCGATATCATGAAGCAGGCCAGTCTAGCAGTCGAGCAGCGTGCTTGAGGGCAGCTGGCCTTTTCAGGTTCCAGCGGCTATCTTAAACTGAGGCTCATGCGCGCCGAGACGTGTGCATGGCTGTGGAGATCCCACTTCTCGCAAAGTATGGCTACGATGCATCAGAAGAGGGAATCCATCAGCACAGACTCATGATTCAAGTATGAAAGGTTGGCAGGATTTTGCATGGAATAGCAGCATCTGCGAACCTTCTTGGAGACACTTCTGTATGATTTCTTGGATTTCCGGACTGAGGTGCAGCCATGGCTCTACTGCTCAAAGACTGCCCCGACCTAGTAGTAAAGAACAACGAACTTGCGCGCTTGGTGCCTTGGCCTTGGCTTTGTCACATCAGTCTTGGGAGTGAAAAAGGGCGACGCATGTCACAGTCTGACCAACGAATGAATCGTGTCTCAAGCGTGCTCTCTCTCTCTCTCTCTCTCTCTCTCTGGATATGAGGTTAATCCTACCATGGACGTTGACGAGGACACACACATTACAGCTGATTAGGCAAATTCGATTGGCGAGAACCCCTGCGTCGTCAAAGATGGAATGCCGGTATGCAAGTGATTTTGTAGTGCAGCTGTTTGGATAGTCCGTGAAGCGCTGGACTTTGCAAGCCCCGTTGCCCCCAAAAGCTCACACATTCAGGTGCCCACACGCAGGCAGGCGGCAACGTCCAGACTGTTCCTTTTCAACATGTACAGTTTCGCACGCACAAGCAGTGCCATTTGATACCATCTTGAGTAGCCCGTCTCCACGGCCGGCACCGACAGTTGCACCTACAGAAAATAATGAATTTCAGTGTGATTCTCAAATTTAAAAGCCGCTCGATAATTCTATCGATTATTTATTGAATGATCAATAAAAAACAAAAGGTTCCAATTTCTAGAGCTCCTGAATAGAATAGGATATCAATAAAAAAGATAATAAAACTTCTTTTCGATTAATATATATATATGATTTATTTCGGCGTTTATATGATTTGAAAAAAAATTTTTAATTATTTGACTATGAATATTATATAGACGAATTGAATTTTATTGATATATTTATTAATTGGTGATTCTTGGTATATAATTAATTATGATAATTTGGAGTTATTGATATGGGGGGATTTCCGAAAATAGGAGACCTTAATATAAGAGCCTAAATAAAATAATAAGATTTTCATGATAAAGGATTGAAAAATATAATTAGGAATTCAAATTTTCGACTATTCTTATATTAGTATTTATAATTTGAAAATAGAGATATGAATTTATTATAATTAGAGAAAAAATACAAATACAAGTATTAAAATAATAATTAAATTAGAAATACGAAAGGAATTAAAAGAATAAGAAATCTTGAAAAAAGAATTTGAAAAATTTAGGGAATTCTATGATCGGAGAAATATAGATTTCTATTAATTTTTGAAAATTTCTCTAGAATATATAAATATATATGATTATTTATGAATATATATATATATAAATCGTTATTTTATATTATATGATACGATGAGAATTAGAAAATATTTTCTTCGAGTTTTCGTATTTATATATATTTGAGGGTGCCGAAGGTAGATTATATTTGGAATTGTGATTATATTTGGGAATGAGATTGTTCGAAGAATTCTGTTTGCGTTAATAAAAAGACGATAATATAGATTTATGTTTATATAAATTGATGATATTCTATATCTAATAAATATATACGATTTATCTATATATAATTTGTGAATATGATATATATTATTTCTTCACATATGAAATTAAATATGAAAAAATATAATCTTGAAATAAATACTATTCTAATTTCATGATATAAATATAAGAGAGAAAAATAAAAATATTTAGACCTCATAATAAAATCTGACAAAATCGTAAGACGATATTGACTCGTAAAATATAAAGAAGAGCATCCGCGACATATGTGCCTATATATATTTAGATTTAGATATTTCTCCGAAAATATATGATTCTTTATTTTATAATTATATATATTTTTTCATCTGCTACGAAATATTGAATTATATTATGATAAGAAATAAATATATATTCATAGCATATTAATCCATTAATATGCCTGCACAGATGATATATATATATATACGCGTAAATCTTGGAAATCTAATATTTTGAAGAGAAGACGGCCATATATTTAAATATTATTCATATAAATATCAATTATAGAAAGATATCTTGCCCGAATTAAAAATATGAAGAATAAGAAAATTTTCCTTACCTCCATATAAT